TTTTTTTTTTTTTTTTTGTACCGGGGATTGAACTCACAAGCTTGCGCTTTTGAGGCAGGCGCAGTGCCACTGAGCTAAATCCCTGGCCTGGTCTGGTTTAGTTTCTGACACAGGGTCTTGCTATGTAGTAAAGGCTGGCCTTGAACTCACTATGTAGCCCAGGCTGGTCTCAAACTCATGGAGATCCTCCTGCCTCAGCCTCCTCAGTGCTGGGATTACAGCACTGCACCACCATACCTGACTAGGACTAGGAATCTTTAAAATTTCACAGCAATGGCAATTGATATCTTCAAATTCCTGAGGAAAAATTATTTCCAATTTTGTATTCTATTCCCAACCAAATCAAGTATGTAGATAGAATAAAAATATTTTCACACAGGCAAAATCTCAAAAAAACAATAAGTATTTCTCATCTACCTTTTCCAGAAAGCTCTTCAAGAAAGGGCTCCACTATAACTAGTAAGTAAAGCAAGAAAGAGCAAGACATGGACTTACGAAATTAGAATCTATAAAACAGGAGATGGACATGGAAACTTCTCCGAATGAAGATCCAGTAGCTGTGTGTGCTTACCAGAGATAGCAACCATTCCAGATAGAAGTAGGTCACAGCCTCCAGGAGATATTTCTTCAAGAAAATAAAATACCTAATCAATGTACTGAGATTTCGATTACCGGGGAAGAGTTTAGGGATTGAGTTTAAGATCAGTCTTATTAATGTAACCAAAGGGAAAGAACACAACAAATATTAAATTGAGAAATAAAAATAAGTGTATTTTTTGCAGGAAAGGAAGATAGCCATTATTGAATTTGAATAGCCATGGTTACGAAAAACAAATGTTAAATATTGATCTAACCTAAATTATGATGTAACTATTGAAAGAATGGGCAGTGGTGAAATGATATTATTCTTCACTTCAGTAATAAAAAATCATGATCTAGTTAATATCTAAAACCACAAAAGGAAAAGGAAAACCCAAGAAATAATATTTAGAGATATAGAATTATGATCAAACAATATCATGAATAATTAAATTTTTTAAAGTTATAGTAAAACAAACACTGCTATCAATCTCCCTCAAAATACTCCCCCTAATCTCAAACACACTTATTCCATCATCAACTTCTGCCACACAAAAATATTACAGTGAATCCTTGTCTGTCTTATTCACTGGATCTAGCACTATACTACTTTGGCTTTTCCCCAAAGTCAAAGTGACCATGATTCAGGACATTGAAAATATCGAGGCAGCCACAACTAGACACTCACAAAAGAGGACTTCCAGAACTGCTTCATAGAATAGTAAGAATGATCGGTTGAATGTATTTGAAGCAAGGGGAAATATCTTTAAATATTAATAAATAGTTAATAATAAATTTTTAAATATTCACCATATTTTTTTTATCACACCTAGAACTAGGAGTTGGAAGGGCTACTTCTGCAAGGATAAATGGCAGGAAGGGACAGGAGGCAATTACTCTTTATACTGCATGTCTTGCAGAGTATTTTGATTCGTAAGACAAAAGCATGTTCAAAACTTTGCAAATCATGAATATTAACAACAAAAAAGTTAACAAAATTCTTTCTTCATTCTCCAAGAAAAAGAAAGACGAAGATCAATTATTTTAATGTGCTGGATTTCATCCCATCTCAAGGATCTACCTTCCTTTAATTTTCCACTCATTTTCCCACTTCATCAGTTTATTTCACTTTATTGGTCCATGCTTAAAACCTTGCTGGTTTACCTCTTACATTTAAATCCATCAATCAGTCAAACAAGATGAAGAAAAACTTCCCTGGCTTTGTATCCCACTTCTACTCCCTCCCCACGTCTAGGACATATTTGCTCACTAGCTTCCCTTCTTCACTTCCCTTTCTGTCCTTATCCTCTTAAGATCTCCCTTCAGTATGCATCACTCATTGATACTGCTTTTGTAAAGGTTACCAGTGACCTCCACATTGCAAACCCAATGGACAGTTTTCTACATTTCAGCATCATTGACATAACTGGCACACCCTTTACTTGGAAATACATGGAAATTTCTTTTTCTTGGTCTATGAAACATGGAACTCTTTGCTTCCCTCACCACACACACACACACACACACACACACACACACACAAACACAATCCCCTACTACTTTCATTTTATTTTATTGCTGCTCCTTCACACCATTTGTGCTAAATCTGTACTTAAAAGTGAGGAAGTACCTCAGGGCTCAGTCCTAAATAACTTCCTTTTTCTTTTGAAAACATTTTAGTGGATCTCAGGGAGAGAGGACTGAGTGAACTGCACTAACTTTAGAACACATCATGGAATATAAGAATGACTCTTTTTATTTAAATATTTCTTTTCTTTTTTATTCTTTCTTTTCAGAGCCCTAAAAAAACTATTATATTGTGTTTGTCTTTATCCTTTTTATGTGTATTCTTGTAGAATCTGTATATTTTGTGCATTTTTAAAACTTTTAAAAATGGTATTGGATTACACCAGCTATTCTCATTTTAGCTATTTTCTCAATCAATCCCCTCTTCCTGTGTAAGTTATACATTCCCCTGGTTTTCAATACCATCTTTATGCTGATGTTCTGATGCCAAACTTATTTTTACAGTCTAGACAACGCCTATCTCGAGAGTCATATAGCCAACTGTATATTTAACATCTCTAGTTACCTAACTCAATGTTCACATTTCAGGCTTAAAATATCCCAAATGATAAATGTGAGTTGACACCCACCCTAGTCTTTCACTAGAAACCTTAAAGTCTTCCTCAATTCCTATTCAGGAGTTTCTGCCCCATTCTCCAGACACGTGCATAGACTACGTCAAATTTACCAACCAATCCAGCTTCTCTACCTCAAAATCCTATTTTGAGTCCATCTACCCTCCTCTCTGTTCACTTCCACCAATTTCTATTTGTTATCAAATAAGTAAACAAAACAGGTGGCAGTTTCATATAATAGTAAATACAACAAAGGAAGTAAGCAAGAAGAAGTATTAAATAAGTATGATATAAGTATTACTTCTTTTAGATAAGATAATCATGGTAACAATATTATACTTGAGCCATCTTCTAGACAACAAGAGCCAACCCTGTACAGATAGACGAGCATCCAGAAAGAGCTGCCAGTACAAAGCACGTGGCTAGCTGAGTAAACAGTGATTGAGCAAGCTGAGTCGTCAAATAAAGTGAGACAACATCTGCCAATTTCAACAGTATGACAATGACAAAAACATCATATTATTGAATCTTCTGCTAAATTGCCATTTTTCATGAACTTTTATTATTTCCAATAATGCTGGTTTGTTAAATGAAAAAACACACAAGTATGTAGAGAGAAGCATAACTATTCAGAGCTTAGCATAAAGTAAATTCCTCTTGAAATCATTCTGTCCTAAAAACGCCCCTTTTAGAGATTAGCAAATAACTGAAGTCCAGTAGCTTGCTGTTATTGACACAAGTTAACTTCATAAATTTCTGATATGTCTTGCAGCCCCCTGCTCTTCAGGCTCAGAGGGTAGAGGAATTAGGCCATCGATTCTTCCATCTTTCAAGAAAGCCCTCTAGAGGAAGAAATGTGGCAATCTTGAGCCTTCCGGAGGTTCCTCCAAGTCAGTGTTCTCTACCTGATTTTCAGGAAGAATAGAGGAATAAGTAGCCAAGGTCAAACTTGTAACTTAATTATTAAACTGTGTTCTAATGTGCACTGCCCTTTCACTTACCAGGAATGTTGGTGAATTTTTGTACTTGTAAAAGTCATCAACTTTGTCATTCTACCAAGATCTGTTTTCTCTTGGCTAATCCTATAAAAAAGTTAAGTATCTTTTCTTCTGCCAAACCAAAGAGCAGCAATACCAAATTATTCCAGCATTTATGTAGCTACTTTATCAACTTGAATTTAATTTAGATTTGGAATGTCCAAAAAAAGGGAGCAAAAGGAGATTTGAAAGTTGTCACCTCTGGAGAAATAGTCACGCATTACTGACTTTCCTTATTACCACAATTGGGGAAATTCTTCAAAGATAAGAATACAAAATAATTATATCCATTCTAAGAGTGAACCAAGAAAAGAGCTGGGACTTACTATCATAGTGATAATAATCTTCATCCACCAGCCAATTAGCATATTGTTTATAAGTTATATAGAAATGTATGATTCATTATTAAGCTCTTTTATCACAACCATTTGCTCGATACAATTTTTTTGGCTAATAACTACAGGGTTATTTGGCCCATCTTATAAATGATCTGGAAGTATTATAGTTATCAGCATCCTCACAGCCAATTTCACTTTTATAAAACTGTTTTATCTAGATCACTTGTGAGGTAGGTTGCAGTATGTCATTAATAAAAGTTAAAGTATGAAAATTTTAAAATCATCTTTTTACTTACTAAAGTTACTCAGATAATTATATGCTATTGGATTGTGCTTCTGAGAGTACTAAAAAAAGAGTAAACTTTTTAGAGAATTGTACATAAA